TCTGCATACGTACATACTCACAATGGTGTTTCAGTATGCAGCAAGTGAACCAGTTTTTAAGTTTGCTCAGTCTCAAGAAGAACAAGACGCTGTTCCGTGATGAGAATCTAAAAGAATTCGAATGACCAAATTTTCGAATAGACGGCCAATAGGCTTTTCTAATAATGTCGTCCTGTAATTACTTTTTGCTTAAGCGGAATACTAAAAAATGTATCCGCTATTGGCAGACGCGGAAAACCTTATTTAATGTCACATTTACGAATAACACTGTATACTGTCACCAAACCCTCGAATAGTTCACACCAAAAAAAGTCATAAATATATAGATATTAGCTAAGGGTTAGATTTCCCAGGAAGCTCAGTACTCCTGGAAAGAAGCTACTTGATATAAGGGGTTGCCCAATACAGACGTTTATGATAATTTGGGTTCTTTCAGTGCGACGAAATGGCTACATGCCTACTAGGGTACGTAGGGTACCAAAGTTTCCTTCATCACTGTGGAGTAAGAGGGAGTGGGTGAATTACCCTGTATTTATTTATAATCGGCAGAGCTTTGGCTGCGTAAAGATCTATGCTGCAGTGCGGGTTCGACGTCTACTGACGCCGCGAGTTTACTTCACAATTGGTCAACTAAATTAAACAAATCTGCCAAAATCCCCTGACAAAAATAAAAGAATCGGTGTGGGTGTGAGTAGGAAATTTAAGAACCATTATGGTTAAAAGCATAGCCAACGAATATCTCAGGTGCTGGCTACCGTTTAACGACGGTTGATGAAAGGTGTTGGGATTTCTGACTAATCCATTTGCAGAGTTCAGGTACCAGCAAGTAGGCGTGTTAAGCCGACTTTACTGCATTCTCCTCGCCCTACAAAATAAGATTTTGTAAACCTCAGTATGACTTTCCAAAAGCCATTTGCCCAAACACCGACATTTTTGCGTTTCATATTGATCTTTGACATATTAAATCTTGCCCCACCCATTATCTCTAGGCTGTTTACTTGCATGTGAGATTCCACGCTTTTTTATGTTTGCTTATCGATGCTCATGCAAATGAGTGACAACAGTTTTTTTGTAAACATAGGAATAGAGCATAGTTTTCCAGTTAGTTTGGCGGTATCTCGTAAGCACAGAAGGACATCCTTGTACACTCTCCGTAGACCGCTAAAGCAATTCCAACCCAACTTCTCAATTTTTATTGATTTATAGTTAGCACTTTTTAGGGGCTTTATTTATTTGCTTTACATACATTTTATAAAAACGGGAAGCAGTAATCTATTCGGAAGTGTTTTTTGAACGTGAACCTTCTTACTGTAGACGATTTTGTGAGAGGTTCAAGACAGCGCCCATTTTGAACGAAATAGAGTAGCCACTTTGGTAACTACTGGAAGCATTTAACCTCATATGCTCTGGGGAAAATAGCTAAAGTGAAAATCCAGGCAAAAGAGCTTAAATTCAACTCTCTCGCTTCCTCGTGTTTTGGTCACGCCCAATTGGTAGAATGTGGAAAGAGAAAGTGTATGCTTGCGTTCTTTCTTGAAAATGTCTAAGTTTCGGCAGTTAATGGTTGGTAAGCAATGTTAAGCGGAAAAAATCCTCTTCTTTAAATTGGTCCAAAAGGCCATCAAAAGAGTGTGAACCAGTCGAGATTAAAAGTTTTTTTTCAAAGGCTTTTTGAACTAAAATTAACAGTTATAGACGATATCCCATGAGTCTTTAGAACATTTATATCCATTATTAATTATAGAAACTTGTGATGAACTCTTCGCTTTTATTAAAATCTCATTTATGGTGTGTAAGGTTTTTAAATGACGGAGGTGTCTATATGCAACCTAGTTTTCTCTGAGCCCAGCTGTCTGGTATCCATATCAACCGCTTGTGTGATAAAAGCCCTTCAAACACATCCAGAACGCCAACGATCAGCAGCAAACGAAGTCACTTATAGCTAACGTTTGTAAATGTTTCGCTTAGGTGACACAACCTAAATTAAATTTCACGTCGAAGCACTAAACAAACGTTAGGTTCGCCGAATGTTAGGAATCAGTAAGAAACCGGGGCGATAGACCGAATAAGGGCAAGTTATTCACGCCAAACCAATTAAGGAAAAGTCAAGATTGAGCAGGTGAATAGGCAGTAACAACGTTGGGAGGAGGTGGATGTATTCTACTTTTGAAAATTATTAGAAAAAGCATTCTCTGAGGTGCTGCGAAGAGGGATGGAGTGTGGTAAAGACTGCAGGGTGTAAATTTCATTATGCAATAAGTCATATGCAGGTCAAGGACCCTGTATCCGTCACTGCTACAGGAATTTCGGCGAATTCCTAAAAGAGGCCCGTGCATTTACTTAAATACTTTTCACTAAAAGCTTACAGTTTTCAAATAGAAATCTAAAAACTCTAATGTTGTAAACATCACACTGTTGGAATATGCTTTACAGAATATCTAAAACAACGTTCCCCTGGTACAAATTGACATATGACACAAAGTGCAAAATTAATTGGATCCATAACATTTCGGGAGCGCTGATCAGTTGCAGCCACTCCCAATGTGTAAATTTGGGTGCCGGTTGTTCCCATGGCAAGGCTAGGTTAACTACATGCTCCAACTGTTTACATAGGTCCGATTAAGAGCGTCTTATGTGGGCTACCTCCGGGTAGCGCAAGATACGAGATGTTCGCGCTCGAACAATAACTAACAGATTTACACAGTCCCCCACTCTTTTTTCCCGTAACTTATTTTCCTCTGTTTCTCCTTCCACCTTGTGTTAACCGTCTTATGTTACCAATTTGCCTTAGTGACTATAACCTGTGACCTTTCTGTACTAATTAAATTTCGTATTTTTCTCATTCGTTGCTCTTTAACGCATTAAAGTGGCTGCAACTGATGAGCGCTCCGAAATGTTATAGATCCAATACATTTTGCATTCTGTGCAATATACCATAGAATATCTACATGCATTAACCTACTTCTGAAAAAAATATGTTTTTTTCAGAATGAATGAGAGATTACTTTCAAACTGAATAAAACAAACTAGAACAATATCCACCGATGAGCCATATTTTGACCTTTCGGCTTCCTTAAAGACATCCCTACGACCATTTGCTGAAAACGAATAAATTTTGCCCGCAAAAAATAAGGGTAACCAAATGGCATTTTAAAAGCAAACTAAATATGTAATAATACATTGGCACATACATTTGCAAACTAAAGTGTAATGTCCAACATGCATTTCAAATACAAAGTAAAGAAATAACAGATGATTATATACCACATCAGTACGACTATCTAGAATGGAAATATCCGCCAAGACGTGTTAGGTCTGCGACATTGAACTGCATCAAACATTTTTTGATGGTAACGGTCTCAGGCAACCTTGAACATACTGTTTACTCTCTCCAAAATTTTTACACATCGCCAAGAAAGAGTCAGGATGACCGGGAGAGAGAGCAGGTGCAAGGAATGACATGGATAAGCAAAGCATTTTGGTTCAGCTCCCAGTTTATCGGAGGTAGTACTTAGGCGAACGCAAGTCCCGAGCTTGAGCACGTCCTGACAGGTTAAAAGCGTATCACATTGTTTATATTGAACAAATAAGTTGAATTGCCGTGATATTCGATCTCAGTAGCTCTTCCGGTCTTCCAAGCAGCAGTCTACTGCCCGAGTGGGTCAACCATGGTATAATGTGCTTAAGCGCATATAGCTGGCTGGCGCGGCGCGATCCTGCGCATAGGCGTGCGAGCGCGTCTGGATGTCCAGTAGCCTGAGATTTCTATGCACGCTGACTAATGCGTACTGTGCACTAGTGCGACCATCACATTAACCTAATGTCAGTCCCGTGTCATTTTTTGTAAACAGAGCGGCCCAATAGTGAAGTCACCCCTTCCTCTGTGCATCATACGGCATTACAGAAGTGGCCGGAAAGTATTCTGCCATTGCAAATCACTGCACATAGTGAATATGGCAAATTAAATAATACTTACTTGAGTCTGGATTTTTGTTCTCTGTATGGGTCTGTTTCATGTCTGCATTGCTGGCGCTGATGGAGTTTAGATCAAATATTTACATCAATTTTGGGGTTAATGCTGGTGGGCGTTTCGCAGGGATATGCTAGGGCGAGTGCTGCATGCAGAAGTCATGAGAACATTTGATTTGGTAGCTTAATATATC